GAGCGGGCAAGATAGCTCCATCTTGCCCGCTCGGGTAGCCAATCACAGCGCAGGATTTGATTCATCTTGCCCGCTCACGGAGCTAGCCACATAATAAACATAAGTATTTTTCGAGTTCGTCATAAATGACTGCAGGTGAAACTTTCACTGTTCGTGGGCGCACAGAATTTCATTATATTTGATCTTTTTTGAGCTGGTGAATCTAGAGGCGCCTACGTTGTGAGTGTATTCGTTTCCTTAAAAATAATGACTTAGAGCCCAACTCTGAATAAAATATTTTAAGAATGGTTCAATGTTCCTTCCCCTGTAACAGTCGTGAAAGACCGTAATGTTATGTTGTTTTTACATCCGAATGTAAGCCCTGTTGTGGGACAAACTGCGCTCTGCAGGAGTATAAGAAAAATGCATAAAAAGTACAAACATGCAGTACTTTCAGTTTATAAAGTGCATTTCCCTTCAATCTTGCCCTGCGCTTTGTCCTCCACAACAAAAGGAGAAATTTTGTTATAATAAGTACAAAAAGCTTCCAGATTAAAAACATTCAAATATTAGCCCAATGCAAACACAGTTCAGAGTATGGTATTCGACGAAATAAACGTTGGATATAACAGGTACCTCAATAGATTTTCTAGTGTGTTCTAGCACATCACGTTTAAAATCGTCATTTGAGTACTTCCATCCGCCCTGCAGTTGAGGAAGGCTCGTAAAAATAAATTTTATTATATTGACACGAGTGTTTTACAGGAAGATATACCATTCGCTCAATTCGACAAAAATGCATTCGGGGCCGGCGAGGCGAATTGCCCCTGGACATTTATGACGTCATGGTTCGTTTTTTGACGCTTATTTGTGCAAAAAGTCAGTTAAAATGGCGAGCAGTAGATTGTTGTAAATAGAAAATGGCACGTTTACTTGAAGATCTGAATTTTATTTTCTAGTAGTCGAGTATTCATTTTTTTTTTTTTTTTTTTTCTAGTAGTAAAAAATAAAATTCAGATCTTGGCGCCGCCGTGTGGTTCCTGATCCATCTTACAATTCCTCAGCAGTAATAATCCTTGATTTATTTTCGCATTCACTATTTCTTCGTTAGTCTTTCTACCTCAGCTCCCTCAATTTGAAAGTAACATTATAGAATAGCCCTTTTCACGGTTAATTTTTCTCGTTTGCATTACAATGTAATCCGACGTGGATGCGAGGCAATTTCGGGTTAAAACTACAAAATAACCCTAAATTGCTTCACATACATGCTAGATTTAATTGTAATGCAAATGAGCAAAGGTAACCGTGAAAAGGGCTATTGATATGGCTTTAAAGTATGCACTGTACTAAAATTAAAACTTTTGTGCTTACTTGATGTTTTCTTGTTTGTTTTTGTTCTGTGCTTTTTTTTTCTGTCGTCTTTACGACTTGATTGCAAATGGAACATTAGGATGCAAATGTATGCCCTTGGGGCAGCTGGGCAATTTATACAAAGACTGTTTAACGAATAGAAAAATAACCTTGGATTGGAGCATACTTGAAAAGAATATGCTGGCTAAAACTGGATTTCACTAGGGTCTAATGCAACTTTCAAATATACAGAAAATGTAATGCTATATTGGTTATCCGTATTTACGTCAAGTCAAACAAGAAACTCTTCAAAACCCTCTCGATCCTATAGAGACTTTAAAGTCTTTAAAAAAATGAATATAACTTACACACAGATAAGAAGGCACAAAACGAAATGAAGAACATCAGTATGTTGTCGATGCGATTTGAGAGAGATGCTAAAACTCACCTATTAGTTTCTTGCAATTCCCAGGCGATAAACAATCAGTTCAATTCTCTAGCTATCAGAGCAGCATAGAGTAGTTCATATTTAACTACACTGAAATAAGCGGCTCTCGGGATGCTGATCAATAATTAAAACGGAAATTTTTAGTTACGTAGATTGCTTTTTGAAGCACAAAAAGGCGTAAAAGAAACCCATTCCTGAATGAATAACAATGAAAGTTTAAAAAAGATCCCAAAATGTGTTTTTATGAGTTTTTTTTCCAAAGCGGTTTTCTTCAGGTTCAACAAGTGGCATTCAAGTACTAAATTTCTCACTTTCTTGCATGGTTTTGTTTCGTGATCAGAGAGGTTTCGAGCCTCTCAGACCGAGTTGACGCTTTATAGAGAATTCTGAAGACCCATTTTCAATGCTATTAGTTTTAAAATTAAATATACAATAGCAATAATGTCAGATTATTGATTATAGGTGTGCGAGCGGGAAGTCAAATAACGCAAGTTATTCTGAAAGAGTTTCCCTTTCGTTAATTAACTTTGAAGAGCAAATATTGATAATAATACCGATAAATAGGCCGGATTCAAATAAGGTTTTATCATTTTTGGAGTTTAAGGTCAACTTGAATTATTGCCGTTAAGCACGAGACAATTTAATAGAGGTCTAGTGGTTCAGTTTTCATTTCAATACAATAGGGAGAACAAGGCAGAAAATAGTCAGGCAATTAATTTACTTTAACGAAACATTAATTGAGAAATACACGAATTACAACTACTTCTAAAATGCTTTTAATTACTGTTTCTGCCGAAGACTGACAAGCTAACACCTAACCCTTAAAAACTACCCTCAAGCTAGGTTATTGAATTGACTTTAATTCTCCTCGCATATTAGGGTCTGAATATTTTTTATTTTATTTATTTATTTATTTATTTATTTATTTATTTATTTATTTTGCAAAAACGAAAATGCGATATTTCCGTTAAGGACAAGGGAAGCGCGGGCTCAACCATTATGGAGCACCTCCACAGATGCATGCCGGTTGATAACGGTAGGTTTATTAAGTTTTCAATTCCTTCCATACTTCGGTAGCGTAAATATTTACATCTTATTACATGTTTCTGGAGTCATATCGGAGTAGGTAAATTAGCGAGTCGAACCACATAATTTTGCCAACTTTGAAGCACTAGGGAACGCTGACTGGTAAATAGTAAAATAATATCATTTCAGAGAATATTTTTGATATTGTTTTTAAACCCTGTGTTTCGTCGGGGTCCGGTTCTCAATCGAGAAAATACCAGTAATTATTTTTCCTCCTCTTATTATTAACATGCCACATTCCTACCACGAACGGCACATTATGACGTAGAAATACCGCTTCACTTTGCCAACCGTTGGATACTTGCTGAGTATGTATCGGGTTTCTAGTCTTTTAATTTGCCGTATTTTATTCTAGTTCTCCACGACACGGGATAACATTGCTTCATAAACAACAATATATTATTAACAACCTTAGTAGAGAATAACTTAATGATAGCTTAACGTTTGTGGTCCTTTTGTTCGGAAAGTTTCCAATCGGACATCAGTTGCCCGCGTGAATTTTTTTTTTCTTTTTTCTTTTGCTTAGCAATATTCCTTGAGTTCTTCTGTTCTACACCTTTCGCCGCAGCATTCTTCGATAACGTTAGTCGAATCTGTGCTCCTCTTTTGTCTTCTGAACGAGAGGAAATCGTTGGCTTCGTGTTTCGTCTGGACAAACAAATCCGCACCCGTATCTATCGGAAAGAAAAGAGAGAACATTGATTACTTCAATGGTACATGAACTTTTCAGTCGGCAAAAAGTACATCGTGATCCGAGAGCAATGCTTAATGACACAGCACGGGGCCTCGATAAATTTTATTCGTATTATTTCATTCGTTTTACACATATTTCTCTGAATAATACTGAGGCCCCATCCACACCACGCTGAGGAGATTTGAAAAACGGCGTTTTTACTCTGAAAACACTTCAAATGTTTTCCCGCCATACTACGCCAGAGAAATTTGAAAACGCAACAATCACCAGTCATTTTGGATTTGCGTGATTATTATGACGTCATTGTTTTCGTTCTCTGTTTTGAAAGTGTTTTCCGTTCAAACTAAAACGCAAAGCCGGCGTTTTCAAATTCCTCCGGTTTAAAGAACGTTTTCAAAAAGTTCCGTTTTCGTAACGGATTAGTGTGGACGGTAAGCCTAACCGTATAAATAAAGCTGCGTTTTCAAAATTCTTCTACGTAGTTGTAGACGTGGCCTGAATCTCTCAAATAAGGCACCAAAACAAATAATAAACCCCTGTCACATATTTACCTCGTCTTCGTCTCCATCTAGCCCACATTGAGTCGCAAATGTTCTTGTAAATGTCAATGATATTGTCACCGCAAAGGCGCGGAAGGTCCACAGGGATTGGAGAGTTCTCGTGCACTTTACATTTGTGTCCTCCTTTATGACATTTCCGGCTCAGAATTCTAGGCAGGTCGACCAACAGCAGGAGGAGAAATAAAGTGAATCCAAGCTTCAGGCTCATCCTGGAAGAAATGAAATCAATAATTTTTTTGGGGTGATGTAGCAGCTGTCGTAAGGTCTCACATGAATGGCTTGCTACCCTTTGAGAGAACAATAGAACAAACAACAGAAACAATGCCCTTAGCCCTAAAACAATAACAGATGCCAACGATAAAGAGAATTACAAGCTTACGAGAGCTGCTACACTTCTGATTTTTCTTTTTTAAGATAACTGCAGAAATTCTCTCGCACTCATTGGCTAATTTTCATTGTCAATAAGCGGACAGATACATGAATTTATAATTTATGCGATGCGTCAACGAGCGAGAGCGGACAATTTGTCACTGTAAAAAGCAATTTGACGTCAGTTTTTGTAATTTTTGTCGCAATAAAGAACTTTGTCAAAGTTTTACAGAACTATCTTTATTTTTATGGGGGTAGTTTTAAGGAATACCAGTTTCTACTTTAGAACAGCTGAATGAAGTGATAGTGGAACAGACGGTGGCAGCACATGCGCAGACGACTGGAAACACGTGATAAATACTAAAGATCTGTCGCCTCTCCGGCCAAACTTCCTACATCAGTCAAGGTCAACAAACCGCAAAAACGCGTGGGTGAGCTTTGCAATAAATTTAAACTAAATTAAACAACGCCTGTCTTTCAACAGAGTAAAGTTCCTAAAAAGCGGACCAAAACCAAGACGGAACAATTGATTGAACGGGATATCAGGTTTTGATCAGTCTCTTGCAGCGAAAGCCTGCCAAATATATCGATTTATCTGCTATCATTTTGAACCATACGGCGTACTTTTTGATTTCATCTGAAAACCTCTATTTGCGTTCCCCACCGTATCCCTAGGTTGTAAATCAAAAGAAGATACTAACAATATTTCGAATACCTATTTCGAATACTTCTATTGAAAATGTGTTTTTAAATCTCAGTTTGAAACAGAAAGAACGAGAAAAAGGCATGGAATGATAGCCAAGCCGAAAACGAAAAACCTATTTTGAGTCGGGACAGGAGTTTTAATTCAAAAATAAACTATAGACCATTTTAAGGAAAAGTCTACCCAGAACTTCTAACAAGGTCAATATAGAATTATCCGTTTAAGTCTCACCTTATTTTCCGAGTTTCTGAGTGTCAGAAAATCTGGAACAAATGAGACACAAAGTTTAGTCCGTAATGCTGTACATATTTGTCGAATCTGCATTCGCTTTTATAACCTTATTTAATATCAAAGGTCGTACAGGTTATCAACACGTCCCCTTAATCTGAGCTAACCAATACGACCGTAATATAACAAAACAAAATTCATAAACGATGGTTGAAAGCGAAATTTTATTGTCAAAGCTTCACACTTTCCTAATTATATTCTCTATTTTAATACGTTGCGTCCTTTACCAGATTTACGACAGGGTTTTAGCCCAACAACAAAGAATGCCCGAAAAATGCAAAATCCTGTTCGTATTTAACTGGTTATGCGGTTGAAACCTGATTTGAGAGCATGTACATATGCGGTTCAATGTGTCGCTGTGGTGTGGTCAAACATTTTTGTGTCGTCCAGTTGTTGCGATATTTGTCTCAATGATAAGTAATATGTAGAAAACATTGCTGGAAAAAAAAACTCTTAATCGTTCCATCCCTTAATTGTGCAAACCAGACCACTTGTCAAAGAAGCGGCATTTTCACAGATTTCGTCAGGCACCCTTTGAGTTTTATTCTTCCAATTTTTCAGTTGAAAATGATTTAACTTTCAAGACCAAATACATAAAATATAGACTTGCGTAAGTTAGAAGAAAAAATCTTCCATAATCAATTCCAAAGATTATTACAAATTAACTTTTATCTGGTTTAATTATGACCAGCTGTACTTTTAAGTCGATTTCGGGGATTTTTCTTTTTTCAATTTTCCCCCTTTAGAGTCTTTCTTTCTAACCATATCTTTTTTTTATTTCTCTTGGAGCGCTGAATTATATTTCTTGGTTACTTGTCCTGATTACAGGCTCTCAGACCAAAACGTTGGGAATCAGTGAAACAAACCGAATCATNTCATCTGAACTGAGGGATACACAGTGTCTTGATGTACTATCAAATTCTCGTGATTAACATATTAAGACGTATATAGCAATATGTAAAGAGAACTGAGACTTAAAAGAATTAAAGGTGCACGCCTCGGTTCCCAATGGGCTTCTTCAGTTCAATAATCGATTAATGCCGCTGTTTAATGCCGGTTTCAGTTAGATAATCTTTTGACCCATCTTGATCTAGTAAGTACTGTACTGGCATCTGCCAAAGAGTTTGAATTTTTTTTTCAGATGATCTTAATCTGTACTAAGAAACAGTAATTTACAATTCCCGTGTAACAATGTTCGTGGGCGACTCCCAATTGGGAGATCAAAATCGGCTTCCTTCCGTTCTGGGTGACCCCAAATTGGATCCTAAGCAGAAAAATTGCCGTGTTGGTAATTCAAGTCGAGTGATCTCAACTGGGTTCTTAAAAGAAATTCAAGACCTTAGCCCGCATGGAAATTAAAAATCGCTGATTCCAGATAAAGTACTTCGAGTGTCGTTCGGGAACTAATTAACGCATTCGCAGACAGCGAGGCAACTTGAAACGCCCAGAAAATACTACAGTTAACCTCATCTCTTTGAGCTTAAAAAAATGAATACAATAATTATGATATTAACTCCTAGCATCATCTTTGGTTAATGGACTTTCAGCGCAGGAAGCTCAGTTTCTGTCACGTAAAATTTGTCTTTATAAAGACACAGCAGTGTTGCTTTACATCTTCGTGCAACGTTTTATAATTGAAGTCTAAGTAGTCGTTGACAGATATTAAGTGCATATAGAGAGATAAAATCTCGCAAGAAGAAAATATGTACAAGACATTGTGTGCTATGCAAGAGAGATTCCTCTGTCTTTATTTCTCGCGTTACAACAAGAGATATTATAACCGGATTTCTCGCATGTTGTCGGCCGGGCGTTGCGGTAAGGTTTCGGCGGACTAATTTCCTCAGCCAATTTTACCACAATTCCGTGTAATGTGTTTAGTCTACCTATAACGGTGTCACGAGATGTCAGCAACCCAGGAATGTCACGAGAAACTGTTTGCATTTTTTCCGAGAAAATTCTGACCTGTGTTTTAACAGCATTGTTTGTGCTCGCTTCGCCGTTTTTTCTCTCGCAAAACCGCAGCACAGATCATTGCGTTCATCTCTTGGGATTTACTATTTCTTTAAAAGCAAAACGTGGTATATATTCTCTAAACACCGGAAGATTACAGTTTTAAGAGCGCGATTTCATGCAGTTTCTTCTCAAAATTTATCCCGAAATTACTTCTCGACGAAGCGTTTGAAGTGCTAGGTTCTTCCGTTTGAATTAAGCTTTGGGTGTGACCCATTATTGTTAAGAAAAACATACTAGGAAAATAGGACTCTTGAGAACCTTGCTATCAGTTCAGCTAAAGATGTTTGACTTAATATCACATTCGTAGAATAATAGTTCATAGTTCCTTATACTATATACACCAAGGCAATATTGTGATGACATGGGAGTAAGGCATAGTCGTTTACTTCAAACCAGTTAAAACAAGGAAAGCGATGGCTGACTCTGAGGAATTTTATCATCTACTTTGTAAGTTGTTGAGCAATCATTACGACTTCTTTGGCATGGAGAAATGATAAAAGAAAACTTCATTGGTGATCAGTTAACGTTTTCGCAAAACGATCTGAAGGGGGAAATTTAACAAAAAAGAACGCAGCGAAGACTTATTAGCACTGAGCCAGAAATGCCCTTGATAGAACCATTGGCACAAACTGCACGTTTTTCTTCCTACATTTGATAACATGTTCACTTTTGTTCCATCAGATACTATCTAAAGTATACTCTAAAAGAGCAGAATTTTGAGAGTTCAATTCTTACCTGTGTTTTGTTGCCGGGGATGGCTGTTATTCAGTTAGCAAAAGCTGTTTTTGTGTAGCTTGCTTGCGCTCCGCAACAGTGCTCTCCAGGCTGAAAGAATGTTCACTGGGCGCGAGAAGTTTATCTGAGCAGCCTCTTGCTGTTGCACTCTTTTTAATCACGGCGTAGCTTCGTTTTGATTGGCTAATGTCAGGTATCAGTAACAAAAAAAGATTACATAATGACGTCTGATCTGAGTGAACTCGCCTACTTCATTTGCCACGCAAGACCTGTTAATGTGAATTCGAAATTGGCTGACCCTGCGAAATTAGCTCTAGAATTACATCCAAAACAAGCATCTCGTACATCCAGCGAACACTTCTTCATGGTCCTCTGTGATTTGGGTCCAGAGCGCCGTAGATCCAGATGTGAAAGCGAGTTACTAGTCCCATTCAACCGCTTAAGTAGCAAACTGATTTCATTTAATTTGCGATTGGCTCTCTGCCATGAGACAAACAAAATCTGCCTTTGGCCTTTAGTTGCTAAAAAAATAATAATTAATTAAAATCACAAAGGGTTCACCGCCTTTCCAGATGGGAAACTTTGACTTTGGGATACTAAAAGCTTGATTACAGCAAAATTAGCCCCTTGCTAAGTTTTTTTTTTTTTTTTAATTATGTTCGTTTTAAAACTGAAATCTCGCTTAACAGCTTTCTCTAAGGAAGCTATATTTGTTCGAACGAAAGCTTCTGAAACTTAACCGTCAGTTGCCGAGGGTGTTCTAGCGTATTAACTTATAAAAATGTATTTCCCGTTGAACAGTGTTTCATTTGTTTTCATTGGCATAAGCATAAAGTTACAATAACCCATGTGTCTCTCAATAGAAAAGAGCTTCAGTTACAAGGGCCACATTTGAACAAATAAGGGCAGAAACTATGGTTATTTGTTGCCACAACCAAGCCGTTGATGCAAGTCAGACTCAAGCTCGTGATATGAAATTACGACTTTTGCTTGCCCTTAATTTTTTTTTTTTTTTCACTTTACGCTGTGCGACGATCAGGCACCCAAAAAGGAATTGCCGTTTAAGTTGTGACTATAAATAGCGCGTTTGGCAAAATACACAAAACCAAGCTTCATCCGCCCTTTAAAACTGGCGTTTACAGGAAATATGGATCTAACGTGACGTTTTGGTCACCCAGTGTAGCCGCGGGGCTCATTTATATTTATATCCATTTGTTCAAGGAACAAACAAAGACGTTTCACGTTTTGCCTACCGTGGAGAGGTAGCAAGTTCAGCGGTTATCTGTGTTTACGACTAAAGACTACACGTGTTGCAAAGCTCGCGTCCCGCTAAGATTTTCCGTAGAAGTTCAATGTACCATGGCTTTGTAAAATGATATTCGGTAGTCTTAAGTTTCTTAAAACAGAGAACAAAATCTGCTCTTGGTTCTTTTAATATGTCAATGATGTCAACCTTATCCTTCTCATGACGAAGTGGAAATTTGAAGGGAATTGTTTTGTCCACCTTCTTTCACAATTCGTTACTCTTGTAGGTGAAACAGCCGAGTACACATGAGTAAAAATCTTTATACTGTTAAAGAAATTGGACAGAAACATGTTGGAGTGCACGTATTCAGCACAGTACTTAGCAATACTAAAGACCGGTGAAAACGATAAACTTCAGTGGTTCATATATACTGAAAAGGGAACAGAAACATGTGGTGACCGCCATATGTATAAACAAGGGTATATAGCCCGGGTAAA